GAAAAAAATGAAATAATGGCTAAAAAATACTTAATTCACAAGATTTTTTGCTAAGGATTAAATGAGAACCTACGTGAAAATAACTTGAAATGTAGTACATTGTAGACACTTAAAAGTTCATTCAAACATGGATATTCTGTTTATAAACCTTCTTGTCCTCCGTTTTGGCTCTTTGCATCTCATATTTTCACCATCAGATGAAAAGGCAATTACGAGGAATGGCAGTATCCACATTTTTCACACTACAACTATTTATTCAGCTCCTACTATGTAATGGTGAATTGCCATTGGACAGACAGAATGGTTAATTTTATGCATCAGCTTCAGTAGGCCATGGTACCCAGATATTTGGTCTAACATGTCTGGATGTGGCTGTGAATGTATTTTTTTAGATGAGAAGATTTTTTTTGATGAGACTAACATTTCAATCAGTAGACGTTGAGTAAAGCAGATCATTCTTCATAATGTCAGTGGGCCTCATCCAAACAGCTGAAGGCCTAAAGAAAAAGACTGACAGCCTTGCCCCCACAGGGTAGAGGGAATTCCGCCTCCAGAATCCCCTGGGCCTTGAGCTGCAACGCCAGCTCTTTCCTGGGTCTTCAGCTTGCCTGCCTGCTCCGCAGATGTTAGACTGACTGCCTCCACAACGTCATGAGCCAATTCCTTAAGATACATCTCTCTGTGTCTGTGTCTCTCTCTGCCTCTCTCTGTCTCTCCACACACACACACACACACACACATACACACACACACACCCCGACTGGCTCTATTTCTCTGGAGAACCTTGACTAATACTAGGCTGGGAGTAGGGTGGGGCAGGTCACAGTTCCCACCTTTAAGAAGTGTTTTTTAAATGAAAAATTATGGGGCAAACTCAAACCATGTGCTAAAAATCTGAAACACAGTATTCCTTGGGAACAGAGAGGACAAGCACATCTTCTGGTCTTGGGGAGGAGACGGGGGTGTAGTCGGAAGGCTTCCTGGCAGAGGTCATCTCTACACTCAATTCTAGGGAACAGGAGTTTGTGATTGTAAAGTGAGGAGACAAGGAAGAGCATCTTGAACAGAGGAAAGCCACAAGCGGAAGCCAGGTCCTGCGAGGCTTTATGTGCTGTCCTAAGGAGCCTAGTTTTTACTCTGTTTTTGCTCGAATATGTTATAAATGGTTATAAGAATCCCAGGAAAAACTGCATATAGATATGTATACTTAAAAAACAAGAAGATTCTTAATGAGGCTTGATCGTTGCCCTTGTGGGTTCTCTCTCTATTTTCCTTATGATCACAGGAAACTCAGAAGCAAGCATACCAGGTACCAGCTGCATCAAGCTGATTTAAGGACAATAACACAGCCATCTCAGCCTTTCCTCTAAGCCAGATTACAGACATCATTTGTTAGTGTTTCAGTGTGGCTTGCTTTCTAGTGCCATCTGGTGTTTTGCTGGGGCACTGATACTTCTTAAAATAATACAAATAGTAACCAGGAAATCTTTAAATGACTTCTTAAAGACATTCACAAAAACATAGTTTAAGCATATCCTCAGTTGTAATGAATGGTATAATGGGATATTAGATATTAGTCTCAATCAAAGGAGAATTTCAGGAAAAGTCCCTGATCCGAATGCGATTTTATCTAACACACACACAGGTATACACACAGAAGCAAAAGCACATACCCCTTTTGCAGGCATGGATATTCTGTTGCTCCTCAAATTTCTTTAAAGGCTCACAAATCCTCAAGTAATCACTGACATTTGATATGTATTAAATTAGTAACACATCGCATACTTTTACCTTCAATGAATTTGTTAACGCAAGCTTTTTTAAGAAGCTTTGAGTCATTTTTGACTCCCCTCCTTCTCTCCTGCCCCATCTCCTAGCCATTAGCAAATCCTACAGAACTCACGTGCGAGTATATGCAGGGTCCAACCACCACGCACCATGTCTACCCCACATCCTAATCCTGTCGCCACCATCCCTCGCCTGGACTACTGTTGTCATCTTCTAATGGGCCCACTGCTTGCAATCTTGCATCCCTAGATCCAGAATGGGCCTTTCAAAACATAAAACAGATCCTATCAATCTTCTTCTCAGAATCTCCCAACAGCTTCCCCTCTCACGAGATATATTCAAAGCCCTTCTTCAAAGCCCTGTGAGATTCAGACCCTAGAAACCCCTCTAATTTCACCCCTCCTCTCTCCCCTCACGGGCCACACTGGCCTCCTCACTGACCCTCACATGCACGAAGCGCACCTCCCCCGGGGACTATGAACATGCTTTCCATTCCTGGGACTCAGCTCTCCCAGCTGGCTGCACGGCTCACTCCCTTGCACCTTGTGTCTCCAAATGTCACTGTCCAGGAGGCCCAACAACATGAGCAACACCCCTGCCCACTGTCATTCTCTGTACTCTGCTCCTGTTTCATATTCATACTTTCATATTTTCATACTTCTTCTATTTTTTAAAAATTACGTACCTCCCCCAATATATACACTAAAAATAAAAAAAGTGTATGTGTATTGGGGGGGTCTGTAATTTTTAAGTTATAAATATCATGAGAACTGGGACTTTGCTTTTACTGAATGTTTTAGCTCCAGTGCCTAAAATAGGGCCTGGCACATAGCAGGTACTCAGTGTGTACTGAATAAATGGATAAATAAAAATAATTGTCTGAAATGAACACCTAGCAAGCCATTTTTCCACTGCATTACTTTGCAGCTCACAGTCAGTCCCATTCTGTGGTTGCGGAACACAGACTAGGCGGACAAAGGTGACATCCAGTGGGGAGAAACTGACATAGCAATTGTGGCCAAAACATGTAAATAATCTGATTCAATTTAAGAAGCTAGCATTTCCTAATGGCATTCGTTTGGAATTAGCCCTGTTCTAAAACCATGACTCTGTCAAAATAAACTAAACCATATTCTCTAAAAGAAAGGGATCACAGAATTATTAACTCTAAGTAAAAACAAAACCTTCCTTCTCTCACCTGTAGCTCTTCACCAACACACTTAAGGGGGTAACACAAGAGTAGAAGATTATGCAACCGAATAGCTCAGCCTGAGACGAATTTACAATTACCATTAAAAAAACTCCATTTCTATTATTATGAAATTAAAATCCGACTCTTAAAACATTCCATTTTTCCCTCTGCATATTCCAGAAGTGGGACATCTCCCCTTCCCTCTGTGTGATGGAGAGTGAGAAGCAGGAAGCTGCCGGAGATTCTCTCCACTGGTCCCGTGAAGAAATAGCCAAGAAGCCCACCTCCCATGCACTGGAAAACTCGCTTCAGGCTCAGAACTCCGGGAGGATAAAGCTGTGCGGAGGGTGCCAGGCAGCACAGGGAGAGGACCTGAAGCCCCTGGAGAGAGAGCAGCCCACTGCAATCTGAAATTAGATGGGGAGGGAGGCCCCCTGAGAGGGCAACAGTCGAGGTAAGACTGAAGGAGCAAGCTGTGTGGGCATCGGGAGAACACTTGGCCCCAGGGAGTGGCCAGCGCCAAGGCCCTGAGTCCGGGGTGTGCCTGGCAGGGATGCCAGCAGGGCTAGAGTCAAGACCAGGAAAGAGTCGTAGGACAGGCAGTCAGGGAGGAAACCAGCAGAGGAGGGAGAAGTGAGAACATGTCGGCGGAGGCCTTGTAAACCCCTGCAAAGGACTTTGGTTTTACTCTGAGGAAGAAACGAAGATGCTGGAGGCATCTGAACAAGTTTTAAAACAGTCTCCATGGCCACTGAACTGAGAAAGATTCTAAAGCCAAAGGAAGACCAGTTGAGAAGCACGTGGAATAATCAGGAGAGACGGTGGTGGCTGCGACCTGGGTGGCAGAGGAGGAAGGTGGCAGGAAGGAGCTGGATTCGGGATCCGCTCTGAAGAGCGGGCTCAGGGTTTGCTGATGGGACGACAGGGAGGCAGGAAAGAGAAGGTTCGTAGGAAGACTGTGTTTTGAGGGGAAGGTCAGACTCCCATTTTATACCTACTAAGTTTGATATGATTATTAGAAAAGTTAAAAAAAAACTAAATCTGTGTATTACTTTAATAAAAAATAAACAGCTAGTCAGGAAAAAAAAAAAAAAAACGCATGAACTAAATGCCTGGTTCCCAGCCTAAGGGCTGTGAAATTATGGCCAGAGGCCAGTAACTCCACGTGTTCCCGTAGTGTTTGCACAGAGTAAGGCCTTGTACCTTATGTGGACTTTATCTTTTCAGTGTAACCACTGCTTTTATCACTACAAAATAAAGCCGCTCCTGAAACTCTAATAATGTTTAATCACTGAAGATTTTATCATTCAACTGATACTTAAAGTATAACCACTATGCTATGATCATCCACGTAAAGTTTACAGATTTAACTTTAAAAATAGCTCCTCTAAGTTTAGGAACCTTTGTGAGAATTGAATTAAAAATCTGCTGGGTTCCTAAACTCATTCATTAGAGTGCCTCTGTAATCAATTCTTGGAAGGCAGAGGTGATATTTTTATATGGGTGTAACTGCACGTCCGCCTTTCCAGTAATTCAGAGTCCCTTGCAAAAAAGAACACATTCTAGCCATCTAGGGATCTCTGGACTTCGCGTAGTTGTCAACATAGGTGACAATTAGTAATTTTTAACATTTCATAAGTGCTCTTCCTCTGCTAGATACTGTGCAAGCACTTTACATACATTTTCACTTAATTACTATTGTGGAAACAAGTCTTACGGTTTCTAGAAGTTGGTACTATCATTATTACTCCTGTAACACAGAAGAGGAAACTGAGGCACAGACTAAGTAATTCTCAAGACACGCATGTAGTGAACTGCAAAACTAGGGTTAGAAGCCAAGGTCTCTCCAGAGACTTAGCACTTAATGTTTGTGTAGCATGTTAATGTCTGTTGATAAAATCATTGAAATCATAAGCCCACTGGCAATTTAACCAGTGATGTGAAATAAAGTCATGCTTTTTATGGGTAGTATAACTTTTCCCCACGTACACTTAAAAGGCGGTTGATTTGATCATCTCACCTTTTTCTTTTTTTTCTGGATCATCTGTTTTTCTATTTGTTTCTGAAAAGTAAAGACAAAACAAAGTTAAGTACCGTGAGAGTCACCATTCAGAATCTCAGAATATAGGACTATCTTTGCATGAATTCAAACAAATACAGTTTACAAAAAATATTTGAGCAAACAATTCAGCTTTCTTAAATGCTGAATTCTTTACCTATGCAATTTGTTATGAAATATTCAGAATCTGAATTACATACAAACGTCACTGAGCAATAAGTAGGAATCAGGCACCAGGCTGAGTGTTCTTGTCTATAAGAAGCGATGGGGTTCATCTCCACCAACAGTAAGTGCCTTTATGGCTACAGACTGAGTCTGGAGAAGACGTACTCAAAGCATATCCAGTATTTTTATTGTCTCCTAAAAACCATATACTACTTTATAATCGGCACCGTGTGCTTTAAAGGAACACAGCATACCACGCTACTGTGAACTCTAGCCTCATCTTCAAGGACTCCACACATCCACAGGTGACCCACTGGGGATGCCTGCACCGAGCCCAGGTGTGCCATAGCTCACCTGCTGAGAGCCAGGGTGGGACTGAGAGCCCACCTGTGTCAGCTGCTCACTAAGTTAATCAGAGTTAGTGTCTCTCTCACAAATATGGGCTGCCAACCACAGTGAAATCCACCAAGAACCTGGACCAGCCAAACAACATCCACTGTGCAACAGAAATCAACAGCATGTGACCTGACCATGTGTACATTTCTGCATTTATAACCTCATGCCTGGCCTATTGTTGAATATAGATCAGGATCTAGTTGATTTTCAAGGTAGACCAGTAGTCCCAGTAGTACTTGTCTAGTCTTTGAGTATTTCTAGGAACACGTGTGTACGTGTGTATTGGAGTGGGGATGGGACAGAGTTTGGGAGACTGATTAAAAAATCAGATTCCATCCTATCACCACAGTGGACATGAGAGGGTGTGGGTGCCACGCAGGTGGGATCAGGGGTGCAGTCATGGTCATTCCGAGTTTTGGATCCCCTCTCCCACATTCAGTCATATAAAAGATTTCACTTTGTGGAGGTGAGAAGTAAATCTGAAGCAGGTTCCTGATGCAAGGAGGGGATTTTTAGCATCAGTCAAGTGTCTTCCTCCTCTGAGGCCCTGGGGAGGGGAAGTGTGCCAGGAGTACTGCCAAGCACGTGGCATGTCTCTTGGCTCCTGACACCCTCTGCAGAAGGTCTCATCTCCTTCTTTGTGCAAAGGAGGAAGCTGAGGCTGCGAAAGTGGCAGGGGGTCCAGGGGAGAGAGATGGCCCCACCAGGGAACTGTCAGAATTTCCAGGTGCTGGACAGAAACCTAAACAGGATGGACGCAGGGGGCCTTCCACTGTAATCCTGTCCCCGGAAAGGTAGCATAGCAGTAAACGTTTAACAAAATAAATAAACAGTACCTATTAGAGACAGGTTAAGAAAGGGCTTGAAGTCACCCCTTTGTGATTTGAGTCATCAGAAATGCTGCAATATTTGAAACTACTAGAAAGCACAAAATGAACAGATTTTGTCATGCAACAAAACAAAAAAATACACCTCCAAATAATGACAACGTAGAGAAGAATTCCTCAGCATTTTATTGCACTGAAGTAACATTAAACAGAAGACACTGACATCACTTTTAGAAAATCCATTGATGTTGCCCAGCTGGGCATTTATTTGTAAAGACAAGGCTTATTAATTCAGATATTTGGAACTAAAAGTATCTGAAGTTGACCACAGCATAATGAATCCTCCATGTCCAGAAGTCTAGAGATGATTCTATACAAAAATCCAGTAAAATTTATTTTATTCATTTATCAGTTCTATGTCACTCCTAAGTTTCCCTAAAAAAATATGGCTTTATAAAAAGAAGTGTTCTATAATTCACAATATGAAGTAAGAGCTTCATTAGATTCTGAGTAGCAACTCTGTATTACCCATATCACAGCTTTAGAAAATTATTGCTTTTTTTTCTTTTTTAACTAACGCGTTACTTTGGAGTTCACTACACATTGGTTCAGCATAACTCTACATTATATCTATGATCTGTAAGATAAAAATACAAAATCTCTTTGATTTTTAACCCTAAAAGCAGGAAAAACGTCACTTTATCTTAAAACAATGTGAACACAATCAAGAGTTCCTCCTGGCACGTCAATGAAACCACTTCTTAGGGTTTTTTTTTTAGCTCATGGTCCTTTCAAAATGAGAGTGTAGCTACCCTTTTTCCTAACAAATGAGTATTTTCATCACAGCAACTATTTTCAAGCCACAGATAAGCCACATTAAAAACAGAAGAACCCCTTCAGTGTGGAAAGGAAAAGGCTCAGGCATCAGGCAAGCAGCAGGTCCCTGGCTCTGTGAGCACTTTTCACACACCCTGCGTCACCCAGCCAGAGGCGATGTTGACTTGATGCGGTAAGAGCAGGGAGCAGTCTTCAGTGTTGTGCTGGCGTCGCTTAATTAGCCAAAAGCAGAACCACCTTCAATTTACACACCAGTCATTGATAAGAGATTTTCTAAAATTTAAACAAACAGACTGGATACAGCTATTCTGCGAGCAATCCCAGGCGGCCAAAAGCATTTTCACATGATGTAACAGGCCATTTCTTTTCCCTACATCCTAACAAGGAATTTTAATGTTTCCCCCCTTAGTTTAAAAAATAAATTAACCACGATAATTTAAGCTTTCATTGAAATATTACATTTTTTCTAATTAATAAGCTAAAAGCTACAGGAATCTCAACTTTGAGTTTTACCCTGAATACTCGAAGCTAGTTTAGGAGTTTTTTTTATAAAGATCAGTGCAGGTATATACAACTCCGGTCTTCACAGCTAATGATGACTCCTATGAGTGTTTCTAAGAGCGCTCAGACAAGGCACTCTTAGCGGCTTTAGCTCGTGTTTAACGCAGTTCATACAAGTCAGCTCACATAGTTAGTGTTAATTACTGATAAAATATATCAAAACCCTGCCATGACAATTGCTGCTACATCATCAATATGATTATTAAGTATTGTCTGAAAAACACATAAATCCAGGTAAGACTAAAAAGCTGTGTCACAGAACGAAAAAGGAAAGAAATCCAACAGATCCGCTAAGGCTATCAAAAAAAGGACATGCAGGAATGTAACATTACATGTGATTTTTTGTTTCTAAAAAAAAAATACACTAAAATGCCAGTGGACTATGATTCATTCAAAACATCTTTAGTGTTCATTCCCACAGATCTTGGTCTGCTCAGTAATTACTTCACAAGATCTACCACAGCCATCTTTTGGAGCGTGTGGGTAAGCTGGTCCTCCTGTGGTGGTAGGGGCAGTCTTTCTGAAGCTTTAAGTATCTGCAAAAATAAGGGGAAATCTAAATTAAAGGACCAACTAGACATAGACTGTGAAATTGCTTCATTTTTACTCTACTTATTAAAAAAAAAACCCCGCCAACCGAAGTAAATCTTTTTTGCTTATGTGTTGTTGCTGTTTTTAAGAGCAACCTGCTTAACAGAATGATGAACTATCTAGAGAAGTTCCTGGGGGGTTACTTGCAAAGCTAATGAAAATCTGAAGTTCTTTAGAGCGTCTGAGAGCTACAACCGAATTTAAGAATTTCAGGCTTCTGAGAAATATAAGCACTAAATTTCTTTCTCCCATCAATGTTTTCACTCACTGTATTAAAAAGAAATGCAGTAGATGGGGAATAAATCTAGTATGGTATTTGAAACACAAATATAGGATGCATTTTCAGCACAGCAACAAGATACTGTAAGTTGCAGTTAGAATATATTATTTCGAATAATCTCATGTCAATTTCTAATGTGATTGCTGATATATAAGTGCCTGGTTAAAAAAGAAGGTATACAGTGTTTTAAAAGCAAAATTCATTCCTGTCCAACTTTTTATAAATACTTTCTTATTCCAAACTTTAGTACCTGGTTTAATTTATTATCAGAGCATCGGATCTATGTTACAATTAGAGTAAAAAGGAGCTTGTGCACATAAAGGCCTGACCAAATCTTGATATAATTTCTAAAGCTGGATTATGATTGACCCATCCTTCCTTCCTTCCTTCCATCTTCTTTCTACATGTGTGTGTGTATGTGTAACCAGAAATTTTTATATAAGCAGAATTATTTGGTGCTAATGAGAAATAACTGGAAACTGTATGCATACTTGAATACATATCCAACTGAAATGAGCGTTTACGTCCACCAAAAGACATGTATAGAAAAACTTACAGCAGCTTTCTTCATAATAGCCCTAAACTAGAAACAGTCACTACAGCCATCAATGTAAAATGGAATTTTAAAAATAGAGTATATTTATAGTAAAAGCAGCAATGAATAAGACCAAGTACTATACCTATCCAAGTGGATAAAACAGTCATGATGGTGAGCAACAGAAACCAGTCACAAAACAAGTGTATATGCATTTGTGTGTGTTTACTCATGGTTCTATTTAATCAAATTCAAAAGCAGGCAGAGCAATCTGCGGTGACACAGCTCACAAGGGCAGTTACCTTAGGTGGGCACATTACTGAGGGGGGAGGAGGAGAGATTTCTGGGGGCTGGAAGAACTCTCTGTAGTGGGTATAAGGATGTATCACGTGTCCAAGTTCATCAAAGTGTACCCTCAACAGCTGAGCACTTCCCTGTGTGTAGACTACACCCCAAAAGAAAGTTTTAAAAACATGGGTTTGATTTCAGGTTCTCCTCGAATTTACCAGTTAGCTGGACTGTGAGAAATAAGCATTTCTGTAACCTGCGCGATCAAAAATCCTCAAGACGATGGGGACTTGTTCAAAGTATAATGATGGTTAACTGATGACAAGGCAAATACACTAAAAGCTCAGTTACGATTTTAAAGGACTCAAACATGTGCCCCTGAATACGTGTAGAAGTCTCCACTCAGAAGTGGTTCACCCAGCTGCAAACCCAGCATCTCCAAAATCAGGCCAGTCGGTCTCCGCTCACCCTGCCTTCGGCATCTCCATTAAGGTTCCATCATTCATTCATTCATTCATTCAAGCCAGAAACATGGGAATCGTCCTGGCCTCTTCTCCCTCAACTCGCCTCCTCTCCCACCAAATTACTTCCAACGCCAACGTCCAAGAAATCGATCCTGGCTCTGCATCCTCTCTACCACGGGCACGCTCTGCATCCTTCTTATCACAGGTCATGCTCCCACCACTTCTGCTTAGATGAACACACTTGCCCCTCACCAGTCTCCACCTCCTCACAGGACTGCTCTTTTCAAATCTGGATCTGATCATGTGACTCCTCTGTTGGAATTTTTCAGTGCCTTCCTATCACTTTTAGGCCCAGATTCAAATTTTCAAACATCGTTGAGGGGACTCTCTCAGAAGCGCCACCTGCCTACCTATCCACCTTGTCTTCTTACACCCTTACGTGGCGCACTGTCTTGGTCTTTGCTCCGCACACACTTGCTCCCCCGCTTCCCACTCGCCAGCTCCTGTCACTTCAAGCAGCCCCTTGAAGCTCAGCTCTAGCACGACACGTGGGAGACCTTCCCCCACTCCCTGCACCCCTGGCCCCTGAAGCTGGGTTAGTTGTCCCCCTCCGTGTGCTGCCCTGTGCCCCACTCTGAGAAGGGAACAACACCGTGCTGGTTGTTGGACTCAGCTGTCCACCCACAGGTCTCTGAACCGCGACAAGGCAGACACTGAATTGTTCACTGTGTATCCTCACTGCCCAGTGCAGAGCCTGCTCCACTGTAGCTGCTTACTAATGGATTTTGTGAATAAATGATCAAATCATGAACAATAATCTGCATATCAGGCACTTACTACCATAAGCGAAGACCCCTAGTGCTGCCAGCCTAAAGCTGGTGGTGGGCCTTATTGGTCAGTGTTACTGGTCGACATGGGAGGTCTGAGTGACAGTTCTGGATGGACACACCCGAGTGAAGCCATCACCCCCTGGCTGGAACATTCAAGGGTGAGGTGAGTTACAACTGTCATCGCTACTTTCAGAGACAAGAGCAGCGACTCACCCAGAAACACAGGTGCTCGCGTGTCGCCATTTTGAATAAGATGATTATGGTCACAGAACATAGTATTCACTTTTCTTTGGGCACGGCATGACACAAAAATTCTTAGAGGAACCAGCTAGTCAAATGGCCTAAAAGTACTATTTGGTTGGAAATTTTACTCTGATGAGTTTCCTAAGTGATTCCTTCATAAACCACCCAGTTTGTGCAATGTATACTTCTGTTGTCCAACTGCTAGAAATGTGCTGCATGATTTCAAGCAAAACTACGACTTCGAGGACAAAGGTGAAAACCCACTAAAGGAGCGGAGGTTCCAAAATCAATTTAAAATAAATCTGGCATTCAAAATGACTGACTTCTACTATGAGAGTGATCAGTTCTCAGGACCTTAACATCCTTGCCAAAAGCACACCTGCAAAGCACTCATAAATTCACAAGTAGACACAAAAGACGGCAAAATTTAAACTATTGGGCAACTTACTTCTCCACAATGAATTATAACGAATCTTCAACACTTCTGAGTTTTACATGAAGTCCTAATGTATATTAAGAGAAAGAGGCCTGAGAGTATCTACTCTCTCCTTTCACCAAAACAGCCCTCAGAACTCATCAGTTCCGAGGCCTTTGTGTAAAATACCCTCGAGCACAATAGCTGAGAGAGTGAACTCTGGAGCCAGAAGGCAAGAATCTACCACTCGTCAGCCCTGCTTTGCTGGGCCTCAGTTTTCTCATCTGTAGAATGGAGCTGACAGCATGTCTAGCTCTTGGGCTCCTGGAAATATTAAGTGAGCTAATTCAGGAGTGTGTCTGGAAGAGCACTACGTACATAATGCTTAATAAAGGCTAGCTTTCCCCATCCCCTGGCGGGTGGCTGGAGACAATGGTAAATTAAGACAGTTCCTTCCCCGGGGAACTATCTCACCGATAAGCACACAATATTAAAGTTCTCGTCTTCGAAAGAGCAGGGAAGGCAAAGTAATCATCAGTTCGACTCCGAGGGCCAGGAAAAGGTGAACTAACATCCAACATTTTGCAGAAGGCCTCAACCTGAGTTTTCCACTGAATAAAGAATTTTAAGGACTTAACGATGGTAAGGCGATGGGCCCTACAATTAGTGTTTCTGCACCTTATACGTAATTCATCACCACTGCAAAAGTAGTCAGCTCACTGTATGAAAGGTCACGAATAGAGACTGATTTATGAGTATTATTCTTTCATTAAGATTGAATAATAAAAACTGTAATATAAAAGAAGAGTAAGAAGATAACAGGAAATGAGCAGACCAAGTGCAATCATTACAAATAACTATTGCTAACTCTCGGCCTCACGTTCTCTTTGGTCAACGTCACACTACAGCTGTGCAGTGCGTCACTCACATTTTTATGACACCAAATTATAGGCTGCAACTTCTTGAGGTCTTTCAGAATTTATCTTCTCTTGATCCACCTCGAAGATCAGACTGATTAATTACTAAAGAGAAGCAGCCACAATCACTGATTACTGGGAGCCTCTTATGTGGCAGGAAGTGTGCCTATGAATCAAATTCTCCCTTTCATCTACTTGGGCTGGTAAATATCTCACCAAAAAAAGGGCCTTATTCCAGCCTCCAGCCACTTTGTATTTTAAATTTATGTTCCAAGGAAATTCTTAGGCTTCATTTATAAAACATAGAACTTTTGGGTTAGAAAAGATTACATTTCATACCTGCAATTAAAGTTGGGTCAATATTAAAAAATATGAACTGTAACTAGAAAAAAAAGCCAATGTTGTAGAAACTCACTATTTTGAGGAATACTCATACAACAATTTTCTTTAAAGGAATGGATGGCAATCAAAATGTGAATTCAGTGACCTGCCCTGCGTCCTCAGATTAGAAACAAGGCACTCTGTGAAGCATCGCTCATCAGTGAAGAGGAAATTACAAAAGTAAGACAGAAACATCAACCTTCCTTGCTCTGAGCGTCTTTTCTTTTTTCTCCTGTAATCATTTATTAAGGTGAGCCAAAGCGATCGGAGGTAAAAGATGTACAACTTTGCTAAGAAAGAAATTTAGAATGAGTCCACAATTATGTCCAGTGTGAGACACACATTGTCCTTTGTTCTCAAGATTCAACTGTCCAAACACTCCTGAAATGGGTAACAGCCAATATTCCAGATTTATTAAAGCTGGAATACGTAGAGAGGAAATACGTGCGTACGTTGAGACACACAAATTTTTAAGTTCTATCTCTTCGTGAAAGTTGAGCATCTTTCTTAAACACAAAATACACATGTATGCCCAGCAGTCATCATGTAAAAGATCAGTGTCTCCATGGATTTCTCTTCTCACTCATATAATCCCAACAACACAGTTCCCTTCAACATTCGTATGTGTTATTATAAATGTACACGGTGTGACAACTGTCAAAACCTAGAACGTCCCAACCATTAAATGAGCAAACACAAGCAGTGGTGTAACTAAAAATAGTCTTTGATTATACAAGGCTTTGTTCTTTTGAAATTTAGTGTTTCAATAAATTTGGCAGGCACGAGTGAAAACTGAACCAGTAAATGACACAAAAAGGAAAAAAATGGAAATAAAACATAGAAACAAGGAGAAATACACTTGGGAAAGAGGTGCTTGAAAATCCTCTCTGAATAAAACATTTTTTCCCCATTTTGAGAACAAGAGGTCTAGACGTTAACTTCCAATTGCAGGCATAGTTATGTCATCTCTAAAATGCATTTGAAAGCACAGGCCTTGACTGAAATGCTGTTCTCATTCTTTAAATGCACTGATGATGGGAGGAACGGGTGTGGGACGGCAGGAAAAAGCAGAGAAGTGGGTGTCACCCGGTGGGCTGGCGGGAGGGACTGCGGGACACGGACAAGTCCTAAGCAGCCTGGATCGCCGTGAGGCACTGAGGATGCTCTCAGGGAAGACGGAGAATGGGGAGGAGGAGGAGCAATGGCGCAGATTTACGCACTATTCAACTTTCATCTGAAGGCAATGCTGAGTCCACATCCTCCATCAAGCAGCCAGTCAATCAAAGAAAGGGGAAAAAACACCCTAACTTCTACTATGATCACCAGCTACAATGGCAAAATCATACAATACTTTGATCATAAATACTCTTCAAATTCGAGCTCAACTAACATATACTACACTGAATCTAAAGTGTATTTTCCGTTACTTTGGCTCAATGCACCAAAACACAGAAAATTTCCCTTTTAAATTTAGGTATTAATTAATCCCTCTCTCAGGAGCTTTACTCTTCATAGAATTATCTGATACAGCTAGAGTGACTATCAACAGCCTCTTTTAAATTAAACAAGAAAAAAGGAAAAAGCAAGACATCTAACAAAAGGCCATACCTGGTGGTACTTCCTGGTGCTCCTCTGCAGGGGGCGCCTGCGTTTCTGCAACAAGTAACAGAGGGACGGCCCGTTACACACTGCAGACCAGTGCTCAACACACACACTGCTGGCATTCGAGGTACGGTGATTTTTACAGAATGTGGGGGGATTTGAGTGCAATTATCCTAAAACAGGAGGTTTATACACTATCACAACAAAGAAAACATCAGCTGTAACTTCATAAAATGTTATTTATTTCTCAACTGTTCTGAACCACAGGCTTTAAAACATTACCTGCCTAACTGACTAACCTCAAAACTCCGTCTGGCAAAGGAGATATGAACTAAAACTTATGTTTTCACCATGGTTTTGCAGGAGACTTAATAAGAAAGCTGAGGAGAGACTTTTAAAGCATCTTGTGTTCTTGTTAACAGCACAAAACAATAAAATGGAAGTAGAATCTTAAAAAATACATCACTCTCCCTCATAAAGTTTTTGAAAAATAATATTCAAGATCACATATCCTAAAACTAGTCGAAAATGTGGATACAAACTTTTAACTTCTAGTCTTTCCCCCTGGCTACTTCAACCCACTCACAACTAAACAGACTGTGAGCCTCAACACCCAACGGTAGAATGATGCACTGATCTGATTTGCCCTATGAAATTACATCATGTGTTAATATCTTCATCTCTAACAACCCATTTAACATCACCTTAATTACAGATGAGATGGTATCTGCTTTCCTTTTACTCCTTAAGATTTGAAACAAGCTTCGGTCAAAAGGAGACATTTCTAATAGCATTTTCTAAAACTCAAATTAGCTCTGTAGGTATTTTGATTATTTTATTCTTGCATTAATTGGCTTCTAAGGGTAAGAGTAACCCATGCTCGAAATAGAAGATTTGGAAATATTTTACATAAAAGTACAAAAGAAACAGAAAAATAGCACACA